AAAAGAGCTACCGCTATCTCACCACCCAGGCGAGCTACCCAAACCATGATTCCAAGGCGGTCCTCGATGCCTTTGATCCCACCAAGGACCTTCAGTTGCAAGATCTAAACAGCCTTGTCGAAAAGGGTGTACAAGGAGGCTGGTACACGGGATGGCCCAAGGAACAGGTGAACAGCTTTAATTGTTGGCATTCGTCCAATGATTAGGTACACAACGGTTGGCGAAAAGAAAGAGCAGCACTTCGATAAATTGTACATGCTGGACCATGACATTCTGGAGAACGGGAGCAACCCACTGGCATTCTCTTGGCCGGCAAAGGCCTTCTCAAAAACCGATCCGGTTAAGGTTCCAAAGTTGGAGGCGTGGTTGATAAACGAGTAGCTCGAGCAGGATCACTCCAAGTTGTTCGTGGTGGAGTATCACTGACAAAGATCCTGAGACGGCTTACAACCTACTGGTTACACCCAAGCAAATGCCCATTCCCAAGGAGTTCTTGGATATTGCTTGGGACGGATCGTCGGCACGCAAAGTCTTGCGATTGGTGATTGACAGAATCAAGATTCTCGCCAACAGCGAGGAGCCTGAAAAAAATTTGGAAGCGCATGAAAAGTTCCAGCATTTCGTGGACCATTGGCGCTGGCGAACACGGTCATCGGGAGATCAGCTTTCGAAGAACGTCGGAGAACCTGCTGTTCTCACTGCGACATCTGCCCGAAGTAGGGTTTCCGGAGTAATCAATTCGGATTTCGCCGGATTGGACTCGGAGGACTCAAATGGAGATCCCCCCGACAAGACCTACGAACTGCTCACCAAGACCTTGGCAGCCGTTGAGGAGAGTAATAAGACGACCAAGACCTCCGTGGAATCGCTTTCAGAGGTAGTGGTAGCGGGCATCCATGGACAAGCATCGGACAAGGCGCCCCCAAATGTTGGTGAAATGGGATCTTAACCCATCGGGGGTCAGACGGCCCTGGTCAGGGCCAAGTCCCCAAAATTGAACACAAATCACATCCGTTGAATTGCTTAATGATGGAATTAGACAATACAATTTTACACACGTATTACCTTAATATAGTGGAAGCTTGGTTCAAAAATTTGGGTTCTCAGGTGATGTTCTCGAGCCACGAGATTTAATTTTCTTTTTCGACCAAATCGTGTTTCTACAAAATTTCCGTATTCATCGGATTGACCCCACTCCCACCCCATAGATCATTTCTTGATGTCCCAAAGTTGCAGAAATTACTTCCATTAGCAAGGCAATGCATTCTGCAACACGCAGAGTATTTGAAATGGTTGGTTACGCCCCCAGATCGCTCATTTTCCCATTTCAAACTTAAAAATTGACACCGACTTGTCATCCAGACCAAATCGAATTCCAAATACCTTACACTCCACTATTGAAGCAATCTGCACCCATCTGCACCCTCTGTCATATTGTTACTATCGACTTGTGAAAACAGAATGATGGTATTATTGAACCGTGTGCCTTGATACAAGGTATATTGTCACAGATGAAGCTGATGGGACTGCTTGACTTCAGTCCCTAGTCAAAGCAATACGCAATTTACGAGCATTTTTGCGTATTGGAGAAAGTTTGAGATTTCGTCATCTTGGAGCCACCTCCAACATCTTGGAGAATACCAACCCAATGGCTCTATCCCCGGAAGCCCCAAAGTTACAGCGACTATTATCAAGTCTAGGACATGGAATTCGCTGATGTGTTCGATGTGTGGTAGTGTTGATCACCAAAGGCTCCATCCAATCGACTGCACAAAGGAAAATTTGCCGCCAACTTCACCACATCAACACCGGGAACATCAACAACCAACCTTCCTCCCAGCAGACGTACATCCCTTCCCATGCCGATATCTGATATGGTAAGGAAGCTACTAGGTTTTCAAGAGTCTATGTTGATATTATGGAGATTGCTGCCTTTGCAGTACGAATCGTCGCAGTTGCGAAATACGTTTGCATGGACGAGGCGATGGTATCGTACAGGATCTTCTTGTTCCAATTGGACTTGGGAATTGAAAATGATGATACTTTACATGGCTTAGCGAAACTTTTTCACCAAAGAGGTCGCCGAAGCGACTCCATTTGAAGCCGAGATTATCGACCACTTCACAGTATTTTCAAGTCCAGACAATCAACCGTGAATCGTCAATAAGAGTTGCAACCATACCCGCATACTGCCAACACACTATCCAGAGACTATTTAAGGTGTGATGGGCACAACATATGCATGGCTGGCTCAGTAGAAAAGCAGATCTACACCATGACTGCACTTGTTTTGTAAGGTGCACTTTGACATGGACGCATTCTGCTTCCATGGGAGACAGGAATTGCTCTGAAGATTCCCGCCAAAATGCTGTCAAATTGTCGGAACTACTTATTGAACAAAATGAAAGGGGAGAAGCATCATTGCTAGGCAAAATAGGGCCTCCTAAAGGAAAAAAGAGACCAATTTAGTGATTCAACAGTCTCGTGTCTGGGCTTGGGCATGCAAAATGGTGGCAAAAAACGATGATAAACTAATTCTGATTTTTCCATTAGATTTGGAAGGGCTCATTTGCTCTATTTCTAAGTTTTCAGCTTAACTCTTTGATATCTTCATGAATTCCTGGATACGTGTGTATTACATTTGAGGTAAGTTTTAGTGATTGTAGTTTTATATGGTTCTACGCGCGCACGGTAGGAAATTTGTCGTTCAAGCGAAAAACTTTAAATGACTTTGTGGCTTTAAGAGGTACTCAGACGGTCTACAAGCCAGGAAAGAACGATTCCGAGTTCTTCAAAAGTTCGAGACAGATTCAACTTGATAGGAACTGGGAAAATCTAAATGTCAAGATTGACAAGAGAGAGGTGATCTACACCACGAACCAATATACCGTGGCTGCGATCATCACTAAGCATTTCATCACTCAAGCAATGAGAGATAAGTTAAGCAATGAAACTGATTGGTTGGACCTCAAGGAAGACCATGTGATGCTGTTGAAGCGTATAAAGACGTTCATGACCATCACGGATGAGACCGAGTGGCAA